CATTGACACCATGTTGAAAGCCCAAAAGTACCCAGTCTACCATCTTCCTTATGCCCTTCTTATATCTCGTATTCTTGAATATAAAGGGGTAATTGTTGAAGGAGAATATACCCAATCTATTCAAGTAGTAGGTTCAGAAATTGGGGAAACCACTTTGCGCCAAATGAGCTTTGTAGCTCATGGTAATGTCTTTCTCCACAAAGATGAGGAAAATAAAAAAGATGAAGATGACAATATTGATGCTCACATAGCTGAACCAGTAAGTGAAGCTGATCCATACAACTGGTCCTTCAGTCATTCCTTCCTCCTCATTATTATCCATGGAAGAGTATTTTTCCAATCTCTTAAGACAAATGGAAGAGATGAGTTTGTTTCATCAAACAAAGCTTGAAGAACTCATGGAGAGGCATCAATCTTAACATGATTATGTGTGTAAGCACTTTAAGTATTTTGATACTAGGCTAGGCAAAATTGAGGATTGCCTCAACCTTCAAAATAAGAGTTGTTATTACTAACATCTTTATGTTGTTTGTAAGTTTGAATTTATGCAAGAAAATAGAAATTTTTTTAACAAGAGATTTTTATCATCATCAAAAAGGGGAGATTGTTACCAATGAGGAACATTGGTGTCTTGAAGTGATTTTGATGATGTTATAGCTGAAGACTTAAAGAATCTTTTGTATCAATGTTAAAAGCATTCTTTGTAGAAACAATTGTATAAGATTCATTTTGTAATTGTAAACAACTCAGAAGCACCTCAAACTAGAGTTTCTTCACGACAATAATTGATTATCTAAAGGGATAATCGATTATCACAAACTAAAATAGAAAGGGGCTGCTCATGCAAAGAATCAATTATCACATCGGATAATCGATTATCACTACTTGATTTAATATTGTTCATGGTGTGCAAATAATCTATTATCACTAAGGATAATCGATTATCATTTTTTCCAAAACCCCATAACGACCTCAAATAATCAATTATCACTTATGATAATCGATTATCACTAGCAATTGGGAGTAGGTTTTTCAGTTTCTAACTCCTGGCCTATATATTTCCTTTCCTAAACCCTTAAAAATAATGAAGCCATTTTTAGAATACAAAATAGTTCTAAGGAAGTTCTCAGGTCTTAGAGAGTTCAATCAAGTCTTGTGAAAAGGAGAAGCTTGCATTTAGTGCGTCTAAAGTTGAAGCGGTTTTCTTCAAGTTGATTGAAATAGGTTCTTCCATCGTGTGTTGAAGGAAGGTGTTTTTTGTTTCTTATTCTTTTTGTAATCTGTTTGTAATCTGAAACAATATTTTAGTGGAAAATGTTAATCACTGTTTATAGTGATTAATGACTGGATGTAGAATCTGTTGATTCGAACCAAAATTTAATGTGATTTTCTTTGCCTTTATAAATCTTGTGTTTAAACTGTTTGACAAAAGTCCTAAAAGAAAATCATAATTTTTAAAAGAACCAATTCACTCATCCACTATTGATTATTGACTCTTATCACGCTCTCTAAAATGTTTCACTACGCGATACCAATATCAACAGTCTTAACCATTTGAGTCTTAGCTTTTGTTTAAGTCTAGACTCATTATACTTAATAGTATCCTTCCTTCCATTTATCAAGTTCATTAATTTATTTATAATTTTTTTTCTCTAAATGTTGTTTCAATATCTAAAAATTTAACAAATAATTGTTTAACAAATATAAAAGAGACTTTCTATGTTGGATATTAGGACTAATTGCATCAAGTAAAAGTCTAATGTAAATGTGGGAGACATAAATCTATGCTAGACTTCATAAGATATGATGTGAAACTTTTTATTCTTATGATATTTTTTCTTCATCTTAATTCTTCTTTTATTTCTCGTGGCTCAACATGACGTTCAAAATGTAGTACTAATGTGGTATCTTTTTTGTCGTGAACAACTCCTTATTAAAGTTCCCAAAGCAAATGATGCCTCCACCATTCTCTTCACTAATGTAGTTGATGACTTTGCTTCATTAATAAAAGCGAACAGAAATATTGTCATTTTGTGTTTGGAGACCTCCAACCTAACTCAAAAAAAAAATAATTAAAACTCGCAGTTTTAATTTCAAAAGTACAAAGAATATTTAAAACACTAACATCAATCACACACTTGGACTTACAAACTTCAATGCAATTGGAAAAAAATCCACCACCATGAAACACTCATGATAACTTATTCAAACTACGGAAACTACTTCCAAAACTTCCACAAACACACAAAAAAAAATCACGTGACGAAAATGCGAAAAAAAAGAAACACAATACCTAAATACATATCCAAACATTTTTAAACTCCAATCTAAAACTCAATATTAACTACAAATTATATACAAAAATTCGACATAAATATTACTTTTTATGTCAGACCAAAAGCTTTCAATACAAAAGAATGTTATACATATTTATAAAAAGATATCACTATCTGTTTTTTTTCTTTATCTTTTAGTCCGTAAAACATATGATGTGATAATTAGCCAACTTTACACTATTTTTAGACCTCTCAAACTTTTTTCAAGACATATCCTACCCTCCACTCAATTACCCTACCAAGCCTCCTCTACAACTTTTTTTTTTAACTTTTCATATTCAAATAAACAATCCAACACTCTAAAAGATTTTGATCCTCGTATTGAACCATTGTTTTTACTATGATGGCACAATGGTCATGGATATTCATATTTAAAATAAATTGCATACTATCCTTCTACCCATTTAAAATTAACACCCATTTTATTTCTACCATCTTAAGGACTTACCAACCAAAGATAAAAGTTCCACCTCCATCCCTCTAATCAACTCATTCAAACTCTTCCCCTCCCTCCTATCACAATCTCTCTCATATATCCCTTTTTTTTTTTCCTAGTTTCTATCCTCCCATCTTTCCTTTGTGCAATAACAAAGAAGTGTAAAAAAAGTAATATTTGATGAAGGTAAAAGAGAGAAAGAGAGAGAGAGAGAAATTGGAACTTGTGTTGGAGTACAATGGTGTGTGACCGTGGAAAGGAAAGAGCCTCATGTTTTTTTGATTTGGACCACAACATTAGATTTGAGGATAGTGAGGTTCTATGTAAGAGACAACATAACCTATGCAATAAATGCATCTACCTGTTCTTATTGCTTCTTCTTTTCTCATCCTTTTCCTTCCACGTGTCCTTAAAGTGTGCTTCTTATCTCTTCCTTTTTACACACGTCTCTCTTCTCCACACTTCACTTCAACCTTCTTTCCAACACTATCTACACCAATTTTCCATTCTTAAAACTTATCCTCTTTTTCTCAGGGCCATCGCTGGGATCCAACACATCATGGATCCTCTTATTAAACTTTCATTGCTTTAATTAACTTCAAATTAAAAATATCTTCATTCTTAAACACTAAATACATTTTTAGGATTTTAAGGTTGAATTCAAGTTTAGAGTTTAAATTTTCAACTTTGATTATATTTTTTCATTTGAGAGACATCTTTATCTCATGAATTAAAAAATAATAATAATTTGACGATAATATATATATTTAGAAATGGCATTTATGTTTGAGGTATTTGCGAATAAAATTTATTATAAAAGTGGTACTCACGAATTTTTGTTTCTTACGAATAAAAGTAGTAAGTATTTTTATATCTTTATAAAGAGATCACCTATACTATTTGTATTTACAAATATTCATTATTTATTAACGATAAAAATAAAAATGTAATTTATATTTAATTTAATTAATATTATATTTCATATTTTTTAATTTTATTTTAAAAATTTATAAAATATAGATATCTACGTGTATTCTTGAGTTTTCAAATATTCACAATATTTTTTAAGCAAATATCTATTTAAATAGCGGGTGATTTTTTATTATATAAGTCAGATAATAAATTATTCGTATCCAACTCAATCCATTATTATATTTAATTATATTATTAAAAAATTATTATTGTGTTTTTAAAAGTATCTATAGTTTTAAAATCATGATATTAAAATAAAATAAAACATTTTGAACATTGTCTCTTTACTTCTTCTACTTGAAAGGGATGAATAATTATTATTCATCGCCATAGAATTAATACACCACTTTGACCAATCTTAAAAAGTCTGTTACAAATTAGAAAATTTTCAAATAGTTATATTATGTTTGACTTATTAGAGTATTCATGTACATATTTATTAAGTGAGACCTTTTGGAAATATTATATTGAGTTTGAAAGTCAAAGTTAGGCTTTGTTTGCTTTATTGTTTTTCTTAAATATATGGTTTTCTCGTGGGCTACCCTAACTGAGTATAATTAAAAAAGTATAATTTGTTTAAATGTGAGACACATTGAACTTGGCCTATTGGTTAAATAGATTACAGTCATGTTGGAAGTCGATTAGTCTTTAGCTTATAATTCTTTGTATTTTTTATCATATAGTTTTACTTTTCTCAAAATTAAAATATTGTTTAATAATATTTAAATAATTTAAATGTTTAATTTATTTCGGTTTAATCATTTCGAAGGTTACTATTTCTGTAAACTCGTCTCAAATATGTTATCGTATTTCTTTTTAATCTCAATTAGGTCCCTATTTCTGTAAAATTGAATCAATTGGACCCTAGCCATCAATTTTGTTATAACAGCGTTAAAATGGTAGTGAGGTAGGATGCTAACTTTGCAAATGTGAAACATGTGCCAGAGTTACGTGGAATTTAATTGTTCTAAATTTTAAAAAATTATCCTTCTTTCTCGCATTCATCCTCTTCCTCTTTATCCTCTCCCCACCGTCTTCCTCCATCCCCTCCCGCCGCGCCCTTGGCAACTCATGGGGCAGCTCCCAATAGAGAAGCGCATCGCCAAATTTGCACGCCGCTCCACCTCCTCCAGCCTCACTGTGCTCCTGAGGATTTTTAATTTAGGGGAATACTTCCCCTTTGCTTGTGAGTGAGCTTGTTGCGATTTGGGATTTTACAATTGTATTAGGGGTTTAGGGTGATTTGTCATCATGTCCTACCAGGGCCACGCACGAGCCTCGAGCTTGAGGGCGGTGAGGTTAAAAAATTGGGGGAACTCGAGGAAGGAGGTGCCCCAGAAGTGAGGGTCGTTGGTGAGGGGTTGGGAGAAGTCCCATGCGGGGTGGACCATTACGAGGAAGTGGTCGTAGGCCATGTGACGAGCCCAGATTTGGGGGTTGTCTTGTTGGAGGAAGTGGAAGAGGTGGAGGTTGTGTAGGGCGCTAAAGTTTGATTCTAAGCCGTAGAGGTAGCATAGGGCATCGAGACTCCCGTAGTAGGGGATATAGATAGCCTTTGCGCACAGGGGATCTTGCGTGAGGCAGGGGTACTTCGGCATCCGACGGTGGAAGATGAGTTCCAGCATGGAAGGGTCGGTTCGATACCAACTTCGAGAGTGGTTATGGGTTTTCTGTCCCAGACCGTGGTTTCCTAGGTAGGGACACAGGTCGTCCAACATTGGATACTTAGAATAGTTTGCCAGTAGATCCAGGTTGAACCTCGAAGGTAGCTTCCTTATGTGGATCCATCGGTTCTCGCATTCTTCCTCTTCCGATGATGTCGTCATTTTCCCCATCGACAACATCATTAACATCAACAACGCTCATCTGCTGCCTTTCAACATCCTCATTCCTTTCTTTCTATTCATCCAACGTTGTCTCGTCGATTCTAATCTCTCAAACGACACAAAAATAAATCCTAATCAAAACCACATTTGGATTTTGGTTTAAACTAGCTTGTTATTTGGTTGATGAATTCTATGTGTTCTACATGTAATGCTAATTCTTATGGGTATTACATATGTTTGGTGCAAATTCTAGATGTTAGATGAGAGTGTTATTGTTATAAATGTGCAATAATAGACCTGTTTTGGTGACTCTGAATTATCAGGATGGTTGAACTGTCATTCCAGCATTAAGAGAAGTAGAAGTAGATTCACCACCCAACCACACACCCGCGTCGAAGAAGAACAACTTCGCATCGAAGAGAACAACTTCTCAGACCTCACGCACCTTTTTCAAAAGGGATTTTTCCAAATTAGAGATTTAGTCAAATCCCAAATTTTTTTCATTTAAAAATTACAAAACACACGACATAAGTACCCTGAGTGTACCACATGCTTAAGCAATGCATAGTCAGCATGCCATGTCATGGATCTCTTAATGCCGTTTACTGAAATTGACGGCAAGGGTCCAATTGATTTAATTTTACAGAAATAGGGATAATAAAAAAATACGAGAACCTATTTGAGACGATTCTGCAGAAACAGGGACTTCTGAAATGATTAAATCATTTATTTGTTTGACCAATTATATAGATTAATATTTTTATTTTTATTTTTATTTTTTATTTTTATAATATAATTTTCTAATTATAGTTAATGTTTGATAAATATTTTAATTATGCTATTATAAATAAATGAATCAAATTATTTACTTTAATTTTACTATAACAACTATATAAAATAAGTTGAAAAAGTAAAACATCCTTAACCGGGTGAATATCACTAATGCAGTCAAGGGAAACGACAAAGGTTATTTTCGCCTACAGGCAGCGATTTCGCAACCGAGGTATATACCGACGAGACAAAAAGGGTAGACTTTTTGCCTCGGTTGTGAACCGAGGCAAAAAGTGATAGGATTTTGCCTCAGTTTATATGTAACCGAAGCAGTAGAGTTTTTTCTTTTTTATTTCTTTTCGAAAGACTTTTTGCCTCGGTTCCTTCTAAACCGAGACAGTATCTCAAACTCTACTACCTCGGTTGGGACCCAAATCGAGGCACTGGAGTGTTTTATATTTTTTTTTTTGCTTTTTCGTCAGATTTTCTACCTCGATTGTGACCTGAACTGATGCCTTAGAAGACTTTCTACCTCGGTTATGGTCACAACCGAGGTGTATTCTCCTATTTTTTTTAAGAACATGTATGTTTCTGCAACATTCCCAACTGTAGAAACAAACCTGCATATATTTAACAATCCAGAAGCATATATTTTCAATAGAAATTATATTAAAACATAAATTCATTCAATGTAATCATAAATCAACTTCTTAGAAGCATAAATCAATTCAATGTAATCATAAATTAACTTAGAAACATAAATCAATCCAATTACAAAATTAAACTAATAATAAATATCCTAAGGTAGAACTTACTATATCCTAATATCTACATACTATTATATAATTGAATTAAATATTTAACAAGTGTTTTCCTTATGAGTTTAAGTGACTTCTCTGGAATTGAAGTAGTAAAATTGAATCTCTACATAAAACACAATGATTTCAATTAGTGTATATGAAATCTAAACAAACCAAAATATTATCGTTTCCGATCCACTGGTAACATGTGCATGAATAGTGGTCATCATCCAATACATGATGTAGTAACCACACTCATATGACCCGGTTTGTCTATTACACTACAATATATCATCATAATTATAAAATATTAAGAAACATCATTGGAATGGTACAAAATGTAACAAAGTATGGACTAAAATACCAAACCTTAAGGGCCAACCATGCAAGCTTTTTAGCTTTAACAGTTGATCTCCCAAACAACATCATATGTGTTGCAAGGGAACTATTAAAAAAAATTGCTTTAGCATACATTTATATAACAAAGAAAGTTCAAACATTGAGGTTCTTACCAGTCTACTACTTGTCTAAGAGGTTTAGGAGGAGACTTGTGCAATGAACAAAACCATATAGTAGTGTTCTCTGGTATGGAGATCACAAGTAGCTCTCAATGACGCTTGAAATTGGTAGTAACTTAATTGTCATATACTAAAATCATAAATGAAACTTTAAAGTTAACAAAGTTCACTTACCCAAGTATATAAGGGAGAAAATATATCTTCTTTCCCATTGCAAAGCAGCTGGTGATGGATGTTTGGATGTCAATCTATTTCCTCTGTGAGTCATTTGGGGTCAATGAACCCATATACATAATTAAACCCCATCTTGTTACTTACACCTCACATATACCTGAAATCAAGAAATGATTTGATATAAGTAACTTGATAAATCAATTTTATATAAATAAGTTCTCATAAACTTACATCATCCACAACTGAACGAGTGAAATATTAATCCCTTCTCTCCCCCAACGCAAGCTCTTTAACATCCTGCTGGTGCAAGTACATTGTGATCTCAATATGACTTCCAAATGTAGTATATATATTAATAAACTATGAAAAAGTTAGTCTAACGCGCCAAATGTAGTATATATATTAACAAACTATGAAAAAGTTATTACTCTTCTTAAACTGTCCAACTGGAATATTCAAAATTCAATACTTGAAAATTAATTTTACCATCTCCTCTCTATGCACTTGTAAAATGTACATTTTTACAAAAAAATTTAGAGATAGTAAATAATTTTTATATTGAATCTCAAACGGAAAACTAAGGCTAATTCACAATAACAATATATTCAACCAAACAAATAATTGCATATGCAACATACAATATATTCAAGCAAACAATATATTTAACCAAAAAAAATAATTACATGTTTATATTAAAAGGAAAATTTTAAGAATAGGAACCTGGGAGCGTGAAAGTTTGACACCAATGAAGAATGTCTGTGTTTAAGAAGCTATAAACTTCCCCCGCAAAAATATAATATCTAGACAAAAGCAAACAACACATTAATTAGTATCATGATTCCTAACCTTAAAGTTTATTTCATCACTAAATCAACCAATTTAATACAACAATTCAAAATATTATTCTCTAATTTCTATATCTCTAAAAAAAACTTATACACCAATTTACATTATCAATCAATTTACATTATCAACCCATTAACACAAACAATTCAAAATTCTATTCCCCCAATTTCTATATCCCTAATTAATATGGCTAAAACCTTTTTCTTCCCTTCCATGAATTCTCATAAACAAATAATACTACCATTGCTATTTCTATCAATCTCAAAATTCTCATCAACAAATAATATACTACCATTGCTATTTCTATCAATCTCTAAATGAAAAAAATAATATTTCTATAAATCTCAAAAGGCGAACTTACCAGGTAAAGAGAGCAAAATCATGACGGTGAGAACAAAAGTTGTCGGTGACGTCGATGAACGGTGGAAGGCAATAGGAGTAGCGCAGGTGAAGAACGAATGGAGCGAGTGAGGGAGGCGCGACAATGGAGGTGCGATGACAATGGCGACAGAGGCGATCTAGAGAGATGAGGGAGGTGCACGAGAGCTGCAAGGGAGGCGTGGCGCAGCGAGGGAGGCACAATGAGCAGAAGCGACGACAAAGGCGATTTGTGCAGAGCAAAAGGTTTCGTTCGCGTGAAGAAAAAAATTGTTCGCGATTCTGGAGATGTAATCCCAGAAAAACAATATTACCTCGGTTCCACTAACTAACCGAAGCAATAAAGACCTACTACCTCGGTTGTTATCTCAACCAATGCCTAAAAGTGTCACAAAATGGAATTTTTGAAAATATATTCAACATATAGGCCTCGGTCCGCGCCTCACCCGAAGCATAAAAGATCTACCGCATCAATTCCCAACTAACCGAAGCGGTATCAGTGGTTCAGGAATTTGGAACGTTCCTTTTCAAAACCTTGTCAAGGGATTTGGTAGGGTATTTTGCCTCGATTGTTCAGAAAACCGAGGTAGTATGAGTTAACAAAAGACATTTAGAACGTTCTGATGCATAGGTGGCAGGTCTGGGAGTGCGGCAAAGGTCAATCTGCAGGGTTATATGCCTCGAATTCCCTTCGAACCGATGCAGTACCTTCCTTTACCATGAAAGGTCTGACTTAGCTTTCTTTGCATGATTTTATGCTTTGGTTTGTCAGAGAACCGAGACAGTAGACCACTTTTAGCATCGATTATCAATGAACCGAGGCATATAGTGTTGCTAAAATTATGAAACTGTCACCGCATTTTTATATGCTTCGGTTTTCCAAAAACTGAAGCGTAATGTGTGAGTTCAAAATTTGTTTTTTTACTAGTGTATATTTAATCCACCATTTCATATATTAAATTGGATTACAAACTTTTAATCTACCAAAACTAAATTGGATTAAATCAACTTATCTTTAGCTCATAATTATTGGTGAAACAATCCATGTAAATTGAGTTGACTCGATTTGAGACAATATTTACCATTTAAACTTAAGTTCAAAAGTATTGTAATTATTAATATATGTCCTTTAAATTGATTGTATATAGCTTCAAAATAAATAAATAAAAAGTTAGGTTTTGTTTCTTTATACTTGGAATATCCTAATGCTTGAGGATTACTATGCATTTAGTCACTTTCTTATTTTAATTATTGTAGGATAATATATATATATATATATATATATATATATATATATATATATATATATATATATATTTCGTTTTCAAGAAATTTACAATCTTTAAAAAAATTGTGGTGATATTTTTGAAATTATGATAAAATTTTAGATTTTGATTTTTTAAATAATTGAAGAGTCGAATGTAAAATTTATGATTAGAGTTATTTGATAACCGAAGCATAAAATCCACAATAAACTTCAGTTGTCTTAGAACAAAAGTTTATATGACTCCACAAATCTCTA